TAATATCTCCAAAGGAAAACACTGTTTTTTTTCCATTGGACCAGTAGTTCATGGTATTAACTCTGTTGTCAACAATTAAAGCATGGCAGATTCCAAAAGTTGTAGGGAACTCAGTGCAATCATAGAACAACAGTTCCCTGTCAGAAGTGGCAACAGCCAGCTGTTTGAGTTCTCTGATGTATACCATGTCATTAACAGACATTTTCCTAATTTTTGAGTAAGGAAGTGTCTTTTGATTTGTGCTCAAATGAAATGTGTATGGGGTTTCAAACCTGTCAGTCCAGAAGTTGAGGACACCATCTGAGCTGATGGTGAGGTATTGACCTTTCTTGTAAGGCCTAGTTTGTTCTGTTGAAACCCCATAACCAGGTTCGACGTTATCGTTGAAGGGTCGGAATATTGTACTCACAACTGTTTTATGAGAGTCCACAGGTACGATTTGGAAAGGTTTGGGAAAGGATTGATTTTTAAAATCCATTCTTTGTGATGCCTTATTTTGGTGTAAGAGGAAGTTCATTAACTCCCCAATGTCCACAGTTCCGTCACAGTTTATGTCAATCTGCATGTGGAGGATAGTGACATCTTCTGTGGTCAAATTACCATCTAACTTCTTTATCACTACACAAAATTCGTCTATATCCAATCCTCCACCATCATCGGCATCAGCCTCCCTAAACAAATCGACAATCTTTGGAATGTCTTTAGCACTAAACATTTCTGTACTCTGTGGTCGATCCTCCTCCATATCGTCAGATAGGTCCTCCTCCTCCATATTCTCTGGCATGTTTTTCGCAATGTCTTTGTGTCTTCTCATTATTACTTCGATATACCCAGTTAACTGGTTAATTAGGGTAATAGTGTTGCTAACTTTGTTAAAAAGAGAGAACTTCCCTAAAAATTAGGGGTCGTCCAGATTTATAGAGCCAGATCAAAGCCATTCTAAAATCCAAGATCAAAGCCAGATTCTAGAATCAAAGATCAAAGCCACGCACACACACACACAATTTTTTTTTAATATTTTCACTTATTCGTATGTGTTTTTTTTTTACGGAAGAGGATTTGGGCCAAATTAAAACTCAAATGTGAGTCTAAATGAAAAAAAAAAAATTCTGACATTAATCTCAGAATTCTGACTTTTTTTTAAAGAATTTTGACTTTATTTGCAGAA